TTTTTTTCTTGATAAGTCTGGCTAGGGGTTTATCTAATTAATTTTCTCAAAGAATCAGCTCTTGGTTTCATTAATTTTTTCTATCGTTTTATTCTTCTCAATTTTATTTATTTCTTCTGTGATCTAATGTCCCTGCTTCTACTAACTTTGGGCCTCATTTGTTCTTCTTTTTCCAGTTGCAACAACTGTGAATTTAGACTGTTCATTTGGGATTGCTCTTCCTTCTTTAAATAGGCCTGGATTGCTATATACTTTCCTCTTAAAACTGCTTTCACTGTGTCCCACAGAAGTTGGGGCATTGTGCTGTTGTTGTCATTTGTCTCTGTATAATGCTTGGTCTCTGTTTTAATTCGGTCATTGATCCACTGATTATTTAGCTCATAGATGTCCCGCAATGTTTTTCTCTTTCTCATATCAATAAATTAAATGCAATTTTAATTTTAATTACCAGTTTTGCCTGTGTTTATTTTATGAGAGAACTTGCCAAAACGTATCTAAGCTGGGTATCTGAACAAATAAATATTAGAGGAGTTAAGAGACCAAAAAATTAAAGAAAGAGTAAGGCAAAAACCAGAAGACATAAAAATGTTGATAAATTGACTAGAGAACATAGAAGTCTTCTGTGTAATAAAAATCACCTGTACACAGGTTTGGAAGACAAACGACAAACTCGGATCAAATTCCCTCAACGGATTAGAGGATGAGTTGATGTCCCTAGTAAAAAACAAACACCCTATCAATCAAAAGAAGAAGTGTAACTGTTTAAGAAGGAACAATTGAAATTTTTTTCAGGAAAACAAAGCTGGGACTTGAACGCAGTGAGGCGGAGCTTGCAGAGGAGCCTCGGGGAAGGACTGCGCTTCCCAGGAGGCGATGCGCTGTTCCCCGCCTCCCGACAGGCTTCGCGCGCTTTACGCGCCAGCTTTGGCCTCTCAGCGGGCAGCGGTGAGGATGGAGCACAGCGACGAGGAAGCCTTCGAGAAGTACCGCGTCCACCTGCGCCCCGCCACACTGCGCGACCTCGCCCCCGCCACGCTGCATCTTCTGCCCTGCGAAGTCCCGGTTAACGGGCCCGCCCCCGTGGGGCGCTTCTTCACCCCGGCCATCCGCCAGGGTCCCGATGGTGAGCGCTCGCGGCCGGACTACGGCTCCCGGCGGCCCCCGCGACGGCGCCGCGCTCTCCTTGGCGAGGAGCGGCGCTAGGGCTCCTGGGGATCGTGGTCTACCGCGGGTGGCGGGCGGGCCGCCACGGGGCTTACTTTGCAAGGCCTAGGCCAGGCCCTCCCTCACTGCGTCTGCTTCCTCCAGGCCTCCAAGTGTCGTTTAGGGGCCGCAGTCTGCGGGGCGAGGAGGTGGTGGTGCCGCCCGGCCTCATGGGATACGTGATGGTGACGGAAGGGAAGGGAGCAGAGGTGGTGGTGGGGAAGCCGGACCCACCGAAGGGTTCGGAGAACGACGAGCAGCTGGAGGAGCGGGAGCTGGAGGAACCCTGGGAAGCGCTGAGGGCGCTGGAGCGGGACTTCGTGAGCAGAAGTGATAGGGTTTCAGGGGGGTGCGGGCGGGAGCCGAGGCGCCGTTGCTGAGACGAGCCTCCTCTCCAGGACCGCTTTATTGAAGCCACTGCCAGTTTCAGCTGCTTTACCCTGTGGGGCCTGGAGACCATCCCTGGTCCGGATGCCAAAGTCCGCGGGGCCCTAACCTGGCCCAGCCTGGCCGCAGCGGTAAGTACACGGCCGGGTCCGTTCCCTCCCAGGCCCCATCCATTCCCGACTTTAATCTTAATCTTGGGTTGTCCAGAATCTTGCCCGAGTGGTTTTGGGGCTTCAAGGTTGGGGAACACAATGGGGCAGATGAAGCCAGAGTCTGACTGGAGAATTAGACTGGCTAAGGGCAGCATGACTTCCCCACCACGCTTCTCTGGCCTGTCTAGAAAGATCTGTCATTCTGGGCAGCTGGGTCCCCTCCCCAGGTATGTGGGCTACCCAGTAAACTGTATGTCATAAGTTCAATAGTACAGGTGACTCCTGTTGCAGATTCACGCACAGGTACCTGAGGACTAAGAAGCAGAGCTTGAAACCGAAAGCCACCGGTCCCTTCACCCCAGTAAAGCAAAAGCCACCGGTCCCTTCACCCCAGTAAAGCAGCTCTTCATTTGGGAGCCACTGATTCTACCATCCCAATAAATGAGCTCTTCATGGCACCTGTGAGTTTCCTGGCACCGCCCCTTCTCCCACAGGAATCTTTCAGTGGCTCCGACCCGTAGAAACAGTTTATTACCAAGAAGCAATGGGGGCAAGAGAGGCCAGAATTTTGCAGCCAGTACCCAACCCATCCCCAATTTCTACTTTACAAAAATTTTTACAGCCACCAACCCTCTGTACAGAGTTCCCACCCCACCCCCACCCCCACCCCCACCCAACTGTACACAGCTGCCTGGTTCACAGCAAGCCTGGGCCTGCAGCCAGCTGACTGGAGTTGACTGAGCCCCGAGCTCATCTTGGTACTGGGCACTAACTGGCCCCTATCAAGCCAGCCTCTTCTTGTGGAACTGTCCCCAGCCTCATCTCCCTTGCTGTGCTTCTTGGGGTCCCCAGTGAGCCCTGGTGCTGCCAGCTTCGTTGGCATGCCACAGCAGTGCCTGGTCACCACTTTCCCCTCTTGCTCCAGTCCTTGGGAGTGAAGTGCAGACATTTGGAGTCAATCCGAAGGAGTCGCTTGAGCATAGCTCGTTCATGCCCATCCACGATGTCCTCTGATAAAGTGAGGATATACTGGCCCTGGACAGGAGGTGGGGCAGGGGGGTCAGCCCACGTAGGGCCTCCACTCCACACCCTTACGCACACCTTTCTCCCCCTGCCTGCCTCCCTACCTTGTAGTAGTTAATGAGGTTGAGGTACTGCAGAGTGGAGATGACATCCTCCTTCTTGATGCTGGTTATTTCACTGATCTCACTGTAGGAGGGCAAGGATCAGGTCCCCTAGGAGCCTTCATTGCTGCCCCAGACCCCCAGGAACCCCAAGAATAAGAAAGCCCAAGAAGAGATAAGCCATGCCATGCACCCCCAGGTAGGTGGGTCAGGCTCACTTGATGGTGATCTGTGGCCTCTCCCCACTCTCCGACTTCAGCCCCATCAGGATCTCCAGGATGGTCTGGGACCAGTAGCTTCGGTAGGATAGAAGGCCAAGATCCGAGAGGGGCTTCTCAGGGGTCCCCGTTTTCCCTTCCACTTTGGAGAGTTCATAGCCTAAAGCAATGGAGCAGGAAGGAGGGAGTGGGTAAGCGATCCCAGCTTGACATTAACCAGTGTTTGAAAGCACACTTTGCAGAGGCAGACTGCCTGGTTCCCATCTTGGTCCTGCCCTGCAGGTGTTCTGTGACCTGGGCTGTGTGGCTGGTCTGTTGTGCGTGTTGCCTCATGAGGGACGACTGAGGACTCACCCTCCCCTGGGTGCGGAACGCACTGAGGAGTAGCTGCTATCAAGTGGAGGGCGTGCTCAGGAGCTAGGGAGGGCTTACAGGTGGGCCTAGGTGAGGGAAGAGAAAGTGGCTTATGGAAAGAAAGTGGCTCGAGTTTCCTTTGTCCTCCCAGACTCTGTGCCTGGATATGAGGCAGCAAGCGGGGTAGGCCCCGCTTCGGATCTGGGCCTGAGGATGCTTGCAGTCTCACAGCTGAATCAGTCCCCCAGCAGCGACTTGAGTGAGGTCAGCTGCTCTAAGACCACAGCAGCCTGACTAGGAGGTTGTGAGGAAAGCAAGGGCAGTGGCGCCACAGCGCTTCCCACGTCGGAGGGAGCCCTTCCCTCAGCAGGTGGCAGGCCTTGCCCCAAGCCCTCTCCCTCCCACTCTGACTGCTCTACCCTGCTGACTGCTGGGCACCAGCAGGAGGTTCAGGTGAGACCCACAGCCCCTGCAAAATCTCCCGTCTCCTGGGCAGAGTTCTTTTTCTCTCCATCAGGGCCCTGGGATGTCTCCACTACCTGTGGGGAGCCCTTCCCCTGGTCCGTCTTTCCCAGTTAGTCTTACCCCCTGGCCCAATCTCCTGACGGCCACCAAGTAACTCAGTGTGAGAGGAGCAGAGGCTGGTGCTCTGGAGAAAGGAAGCATGGAACAAGAGGGCACGCTTGGGTTCCTGCTTGGGTGCTGGGGCCGCAGAGCATGCAGAATCCTGAGAGAACACTGGAGGCCATACCTGCTGCCTCAGCAGCAGGAAAACTCTGGCCCTCCTTAGTGACCACCTACCTGCCCTCTGGGGCTGCCTGGAACAGGAGCTTCCAGTGCCATCTGCTCAGCCGGGCAGAAGTGAGCCCACTTCCCTGGTGGCCCCGCCCACACTGTCCAGAGGTCCAAGTTCCAAGGCTTAGAATGGATCTCGGCACTCACCTGCCCCAGCAGGCTGAGGGCATCCTGAGCAGGAGACCCTGTCCTGGTGCCATTCAGCCAATAAAACCGCTCAAGTGGGTCATGACCTCGAGTCAAGCTTCTGTGTCTTCACCAGACAAGACCTAAGGCTCCCTCCCTGTCTCCCGGGTCAGGCCTTGGTTATCCCAGGGGTTCAGTGAGTGGTGAGTCAAATGGGAGTCAGAAGCTGGGAAGCAGAGGGGGCTTTGGAGTTAGGGGACCATATTAGAGTTCATATATGATGAGCAGTCCCTTCTGGGCTTTAAAAGACAGACCTGCCTGAATGTGAGAAGCAGGGGTGAAATCCATGCACATCGGTGCTTGCATGTTTGCTGAGTCAACTGCAGTTGGAACGTGTACTGTCTGCAAGGCTCAGGTGACCACTGGGGAAGTGAACCACTGCCTCGCCCAGGAGCTTGTATGACAGCACTGGACCAGGCAGGTGAGCAACAGGGGCACACTCAGCTTCTGCCCATAGCTGGGCAGGAGTGTGAGTCACGTCTGGGAAAAGCTGGGCAGTGCTTAGAACTCTAGCCAAGGAACAGTGAGGGGCCGGTAACCTAGCCCAGACAGGCAGGGCAGTCACCTGAAGACAGACCCTTCTTTATTTCTGGCTCTGCTGACTGGGCTGCACAGCTGGGGCCCAGAATCATGGCAATGAGCACATCTGTGTGTGAGGCCCCGCTGGGTGCCCTGACGCTGGTCCTAGGGGCCTGCCAGTGCCCACCCGAAGGCCCTGGCTGGGAGCATAGGTACTCACTGAATTCTATCAGTAGCTTTCCATAGCCCCGGCGCTGGTAGGGAGGCAGGGTCAGGATACAAGCCACGTTGTAGTCTTCGGTTGATTCCTTTTCCTGGAACAGAAGCGGGTGAGTGAGGGAAGGCGCCTGGTTCGGGGCAGGACTGAGGGACAGTATGGACGAGCCTCACCTTGGAGAAGTAGCCCACAATGTGGAAGCCCTTGCAGTCATACTCTGTCATGACGTAGAATAGGAAGGGGTCTGTGTCATAGTATAATGTCTTGTGATCGAGGAAACACTTGGCCAGGAGACACAGGTTCTGGGAGTAGCTCTGCAGAGGAAAAGGCCTGTTACCAGTATCCTGCTTTGAGCATGGCCGTTGGGTCAGGGTCATCCAGGACCTTTGTACGCCATGCTGGTAGGTGATGAGCCTTCCTTCCTGGGGCCTGACCCACTCCACTCAGGCAGGGCCACTTCTCAGTGTCAAGGAGCCTGTGGGCCAGTTCCATGATGGTGTTGGACCATGGACTTCCCCACTGAGCGGGGCAGGTTATCTCCACTGCCCTCTGCTGTAGTTAACAACTCAACAAACTATGACATGGCCCTACGAAGAGAGACTGACCAAGGCGTATGAGAGAAGCTCTGTTGAGTTTTATGAGTCTGGCTGTCAAAAAAAAACCACAAAAAACTCCCCAGTCTAAAGTCACACCTATTGGGAACTGATCTGCTATCCTACAACAGATAGAAGGAATTCAGGAGTTCAACAAAATAACATCCTTAGGAGTTGCTCCAGCAAAATTATTAATCTTACTACTTTACCTTTACATACCATTCCTCCTGCATTTCACATGTGGCTTTTTAACCCCCCAGTGGGCACTGCCACCAGGATGCCCAGGCCCACACTTACTGACAGCACTGTAGTTACAGCAGCACGCTCAAGCTCCCCAACCCCACCCGCACCTGATCTCTTCCCTGCCATTCAAGGCACCTGTCTCTTCCTCACCGCCCTCTAAGCCCCAGGAATGGGGGAGTCTCACTCTCAGTGGTCCTCCAGGATATTCCCACCTCCCTCCTCACAGCCACAGACAAACTCAGGTTTGAAGGCCTGAACCTGTAGTGTCCCCAACTCCTCCCCACCTGACCCCACTCCCACCACCAGAGCTCTGTCTCTTGTAACAGCCTTGCCTTATCCTGTCCGTGTTTCACATCTCCCCCCATGTTCATGTCTGCTCTGCAGAACCACACCGTGGGACCCCCTTTCCCCCCTTCCTTTCATGTCAAGGCTCAGTGACACCTCCTTTGTGAAGCTTTGCTGGCTACCTTCTCTGGGTCCCAGTAACGCTTCCTTTGTGCTTACCACACTGGGATCTAAGTGGCCATTGGCACGTCTGTTTTCCCTGTGGTCCATGAGCTCTCAGCAGATTCCTGGTCATCTCTACCTCCCAGCACCTCCCCTTCAGCAGGAACTCAGTAAAAATGGAATAAACTAATCTGCTGTCCAGACTGGTCAGTGTTTCCTGAGCAGGAAGCTGCTGCTCATTTGACTTGCCCCAGATCCTCAGTGCCAAGGATTCCCACTACCCTCAGCCACTAACCTTATTCTTACGACCATCAATTTCAAAGAAGGAGATGGTGCCTTTGCGGTAAATCTCATTGCCTGGAGGATGTCGCAGGTCACACTTGGTCTGAGGAAGAGAGGAGGATCAGGGGTGGAAGCAGGATGGGGGGGTGCTAGGAGGGTGGCCTAACCCCTCATACCCCTCATACCAAGTGGCGCTGCAGACACTTAAGGCTACGGCCATATTTGAGGCAGAACTCGCAGAGGTAGAGGACAGGCAATGTGGTGAGCTCCTGTGGGTATGGGGAGAAGTACCACGGCTTGAGGCGGTGCCGGCCCAGCTCGATGCACTCAATGTTCTTCATCCGGGTAACAATGTCATCGTGGCTCCGGTCAGACACCAGGCTCCCAGTCATGCGTGGGGCTGAAGGTATTCCATCTGAGCTGTCCTGGGAGTCCTTCTCAGGGCCAGTGGAAGACATCAGGTTAGAGGAGACAGCTAAAGCA